TCCCCAGGTACCTGCTACTGAAAGGGCAGGATCCAGCTCTCCTGCTTTTCTCCCACAGGCCAGACCCCCATTATTGCCATTCCTCTGAAGGCAGCTGAGCCATTGGGGGGCTAAACTGGCAGAAATTCTCTTTCATTTTTTTGGTAAGAGGTAAAGCATTTTTTAAATGCTTTGGCATTTTCTAGGGTGGGCAGGGTGGATTTTTTTTGCCTCAATGCCTTCCCTGGAAACAGGCAGGGATGCTCCTAGCCCAGGGAAGGGGAGGAGCTGTGGGATCAGTCAGTGTTAGTGCAGGGGATGGAGCCAGCTCTTCCTCCTTCCCTGCACCTGGTCCTGGCAGCTCCCAGCCCCTGCTCCTCAGGAAGGAGCCACAGCCTCTCCTGCCACAGCTCCTCCCTGCCAGAGCCTCTCCAGATCAAAGCCTGCCTCCAGAATACCAATCCAAGTGACATCATAGACCTGCTCCTGCTGATAGCCTGGGGTCCAGAGGCAAACCCACTTCATCCCTTCTGTGTGGGTCACTGGCCCAAGCCCCCACTGGCTGCTTCTGTCCCTCCATAACTGTTGGGAAGGATGAAAGTTTGACAAGGAAGTCTCACAGATGCTTAGCAGAAAGATTTTTAAATGTGGAGTCTGATGAAGGAATAGAGATGGAAGCAAGTTTTGCTAGAGAAGAAAAGAATTGCTGAGCCAGTCTCACTGGATAACCAAGGAGGCAAAGGATCTGTAAGTTAGAAGGGGTTTTTATGGCATAGGGCAAAGGATAAACCCACCCTAAACAAGAAGATGTTTTTACCAGCAGAAAGCACAGGCAAACAAGCCTGCTGGTGTGGCAAGTAGAAAAAAGGTCTCAGAATTTTCCACTGCAAGAAAACTGAAAAACAACTTCTGGCTTAAACTGTGATGTACTGACTTTGAGTGATTGGAGAACAGTAACATGAATATGGTAATTACAGCAGTTATGATGGGCTATAGATAATAGTTAAGGTATAGATTGGTTCTACTGTATGGAGATGCTCAGCAAAGAAAAGTATAGAATGCATTGTGACCAAAAGAAAAGTAAATAATGCAGTGTGACCAAAAGAAAAGTAAATAATGCATTGTGACCAAACCCAAAGGGTCTCCAGGCCTGCCTGCAGCTGGAGCTGACAGCTGTGGGCACAGCTCTGTCACCCATGATCCTGGGCTGCTGTAACCTCTTGGATGGAATAAACTGCATTTTGGATACAACAAACTGCATTTTGGATACAATAAACTGCATTTTGGAGAGCCTCCTGGAGTCCCACATCCCTCATTTTGACTCTTACACATAACCTGTCAGGAATCACCTCCTGTGTCCATGGAGGAACTTCCCTGTGTGCCTGAGGCTTCCCTGTGTCCTGAGCTCCCAGGGCTGGTGGGGCTGGAGCGGGAAGGCGGAGCAGGGAATGGTGACAGGAATGGTGACAGGAATGGTGACACCTCAGCCACGGCTCTGTGCTGCTCTCCCTGCAGGCTGGGGAGCGTTGCCATGGTGATGGCAGCTCCCGAGCCTCTGCCGAGCCCATCTGGCTCCAGGGACACGCTGGGATGCCCAAGGACACCTCGGGATGCCCAGGGCACGTCCCAGGGCCGGCCCTGCCCCCGTGGCTGGGCTGTGTCCCAGGAGGGGCAGGGCTGCACTCAAGGACATTCCTGCTGCTTCCCTGCCAGGCAGGAAGGTTTCAGGAGCGATTTCCATGTGCAGCTGTGCCGGGCTGATAAAATGCCACCGAAAAGTGGCAGTAAATTACAGTGACAGCAGCCATCATCTGCACAGCCCGCACGTGCCGCCCGCCCGGGCTTTCTTCCCCGAACAAAGCTCTGCTCTGCACAGCTAATGAGCCTGTGGGAGCCTTTCCAAGGGCAGCAAAAGCAGCAGAGCTTCATGGCAGCTTTTCTTTTTTTTTTATATTTTATTTGCATGATTAACATTAGAGCTGTTCCATTTGCATTCAGGGTGACAATCACAGAGCTGGCAGCAGCACAGGTACAGCAAATAAACCCTAAAGCATCACATGAAGCAACCTCAGCTGGGGCTCCTGGAGTGACCCTTTGGTGTGATGTCCCTGCTGCCACATGGGGTTTGTGACACTGGACACAGCTCTCACTTGCTGAATTCTCCTGGAACCAGCAAGTTGCCACAGTTAAATCACATCACATCTGCTCACTGACTGCAATGGGGCAGAAGGAAATTTACAGCCTGGGATCTCACTGACATTTTACCACAGAAAAAAAAGGAGCCTGAAAGATAAATCTAAAGGCAAAGACATCCCAGAGATGTGGAACAAAAGAAAGTAAAATTATCTATTTAAACTAGAAGTCAGTTTTAATTCAATTGAAGCAAACTGGTAAGCACCATTACACAAAGGCAGCAGCACTGTTTGGAGGGTTAAGGGTCACTGGATGATGAAGCTCTCCAGATAATTACTGAGTCCCTTCTGGAAAGCCTCGTGATTTGCAGGACAGCCATAAGCCACAGAATACACATCATTAAAAAAAGAGCTGCTAAATGTGGATTCTTTCACTTACACTCATTCCTGTGCAGAGGAAAACACCCCTGGGCCCCAGGCTGGGATCAGCTGCTCTAAGGCTGCTCTCACATCTGCCTCACTCGTGTCACACAAGTGCCCATTGTCACAACACCACATTTCATCTCCTCTTGTCTTCCCCTTTTCCTAAATTACAATTTGAGGAACTCCAATGCAACAGAAGGCTCAGTTATTTAAAAGAAAATCAAATCCTTCTAGATGTGCTCACAGTTTGTCTCCCTCAGCCTTTGATGCTCACAGGCAAAACTACAGAAGGAAAAAAGAGCAAGAATTAAAGAAAGAAGAAAAAGAGCAAGAATTAAATTTCCCTGTGAGTTGTTAATGAACAATTGAAAGCAAGTTGAGAACAGAAATGACAGGCAAAATTGCCTTGATGCTTTCAGAGCTCAGAGAAGGCCTCATCAGATCCCTCCTCTTTGATTTCTGATTGTACCTTTTCCAGCACTGCCCGGCCCCATCTGCCAGCAGCAGAGCCAGGGAGGGATCCCAGCCAGGGCTGGAGCTCAGTTAGCAGGAAACAAGAGAAACACTGGAAGTGGAGACAAAGTCAAGCTTTTTTCAGGTAGATATAACACTGTACAAGGTCTCTAATCCATACCTATAGATACCAGCTCAACACCTTCTCTTAATAATAATTTAATAAGCATTTAATGATTCATTGAGAGTTGCTTGGTTTAGCTGTGAGTTCCAGGACTCTGAAAAGCTCCTCTGCATCCCCTTGCCAGCCCCATTTGAGAGCCTGGTTAAGAACCTCCAGTGAGTGAAAGCAGAGAGGGTTCAGCTGCAGGGAAGGAGCTCCAGGAGGACATCCAGATTTCTCCAGAGTCCTCAGGTCCTTCAACACTGGAGAAGGAGTTTGTCCTTTATGATCCTTTATGAGGTAAGTTAGAACTCCCTGGAGATTTCTTACAGAAAAATAACAAAAAGATGCCTCCATGTCCTGCTGCAGTCCTCAGGTAGACTCATGTTGGTCCCCTCCCACCCCAGGGACAGCAGGACACATGGCAGGGAGGTTTGTGAAGCCACAGAACAACGTGCACCAGCATTTTAATTTCTATCACTTTTGCTGACTGTGGCAACAAGGAAACCCCCAGAAGCACCACAGTTATTCTACACCTGATGCCACACAAACCCACTGCAGCAAAACCCTTTGTGGAGCAAAGGAGTTGATCCATTACACCTAAGCAGGTTCTTTACCTTCCAGGGGCAAAAAAATTCTTTGCCCTGCTGTCTTTGATGCTGAGCCCACTCCAGATCCCAGCCCAGACAATGTAATTCTGGAGCTGGCAGCAAACTCACCAAACTGACAAGTTGCTGTTAAAATTGTGCCTCTCACTGGATTTATCTGAAGGAGGAGCTTGGAGCTCACTGAGCCATGATCTGCTCCCACAGCAACACAGCCTGGGGCTCTGAAATTATTCTCCAGTAGCTGCACCTTGCAATTTCCAAAAATGTCACCCCTCAATTGCTCCCTGGTTTAATATGAAAGCTGGAGCCACCTGGGAGCAAGCAGTTCCCCCTGCAGCTTTATCCACAAGGAGCTCATTAGCTCACCCCAGTCCTGGGGAGAAAGAGACTCTGGGTTAGAGCTGTGGCCCTGGGACCTCCCTGAAAACATCCAAGGCAGGAAATTCCTCCCTAGAACCCCTGGTGAGCACAGTGGAAGCACAGTTAAGGACCCAGGAACACCTCCCAGGGGGCATGGGAGCACCAGAGATCAGCCCCAGGCCAGCCCAAGAGAATAAACCAGATGGAAAAGTGCTCCCCTTTCCAGAGGAGGGAGGAAGGAGAAGATGTTGAGAGTCCAAGGAAGCTCAGCAGCAGCAGATGCTCAGAACAGGGAATAAAACTCTGAACCACAAAGCTCAGAGAAAGGCAGGGCCTGCACCCTCCACAGCCTGAGCTTGGCCTTTCCAGAAAAACTCAGTGCACACAAAAGGTGCAGAATTCCCTACCAAATACAAACCATTCAGCACAACAAATACCAAGAGACCAACCCTAGACTTGATGTTTTCTGCTCCCATCCTGGTCAAACTGGTTGGGTTTCCAGACAGACCTCGGCAGGCCAGAGAAAGAATGTTACAGATAAGAAATAATAAACAACTTTGAGAACAAAACCAGAAGAATCCTGACTCCTTTTCAGCTGCTGGCTGGGAAAAGAGACTTGAATGTACCTCAGAGTCACTCTGACCAGCAGAGATGCTGAGAAAGGATTTTTCAGAAAATATGACAGTGACAATGAACAAGCTTTTAGGTGCTACAGCTCCCACCACACCAAGGCTCCAGAGAGCACCATGGAAAGAGCCCTAAAAATATCCAGCAGCGACCAAAGTGTAGAAGTCTGGAATCTATGCAACAACAGAGGCAGGAAGGAGAGCAAGGGTGGTTCAAGGAGCTTGGGCTGAGTTTCTGAGGCAGTGGAAGCTTTACCTTCTGCAGGAAGAGGACGATCCTGACGAGCATCTTGGCGTGCAGCTCCTCCAGGGTGAAGAGCGTGCGCGGCGTGCGGATGAAGAGCTTGGTCTTGCCGTAGGCCACGTCGTGCTGGAAGCCGTGGCACTCGATGAGCTTCCTCACTGCCTCCTTGTCTGAGGGCAGATCGTGGTTGGGCCACGTGAACTCAGAGATCATCTTGTACCTGGAATGAAAAGGGACCATTTACAAATGTGAGCTTGTGTTCCAGACTGCAAGGCAAGATGTTTTCCATTACCATCTGTATGGCAGATTATCTTTTGTCAAGTGGGCAGTTTGCCTTATCTCTCTCTTTGAGTGACCACATTCACACCTCCCTGGGAGGGGACACTGCTGATAACAGCTATGGAATGTCCCTGCATGGCTGATAAGAACTACAGCATCCCATTGGGAGATGGGAGCCCAGAGGGAGGAGCCAAGCATTCCTGCCTGGATATAATCCAGAGGTTTGGAGACACCAGCACAGCTTCTCCACTGGATTCCCCAGAGGAACAGCAGCTGCCTCTTCCTCCACTGGATCTTCAGAGGCAGAATCCATCCTTCTCTACAGGATCCCTGCTCCAGCAGAGCCACCCCTGACACTGCAGGAGGGCTGAGCCACAATTCCAATGGTTCTGCTGCCCACACCCTGACCCACAGGGTGTCAGGTTGGGTTCTGACTCTGGCAGTGTTGTTCTGGTGCACTGCGTTGTTTATTTTACCCTTTTATTTCTTTTTTCCCCTTCCCTATTAAAGAACTGTTATTTCCTGCTCCCATATTTTTGCCTGAGAGCCCCTTAATTTAAAATTTACACCAATTCAGAGGGGTGGGGAGGGTTTACATTCTCCATCTCAGGGGAGGCTCCTGCCTTCCTTAGCAGACTCCTGGCTTTCCAAACCAAGACAGCTTGCCAGCAAGGTGCTAGAGAAGGGCAAAATTCAACTGGTTTTAGAAAACATGATCAGTTAAACTGTAATAAAACTGAATATAGATGGAAGAGTCTGAAGAAATCCTTGCACAGATTTTTTTATTTCAGTTCTGCTCTAATTAAGCAAGCCATCCTTGACCAGCACTTGCAAAAACCATGGGTACCAACTCTGGTATTCCAAGACAGCACTTACACACAAGCCATGCTAAAAACAAGCACAGTTCTCAAAGCCTAAGATACATCTGATCTGAACATCTTTTTAAAAGAAAGTAAACACCCATACTCTGCATTACCTAGAGTTTTAAAACAGGGTTTATAGGCAAAATCCAAGTACTATTTATAGCAATCTGCATTTGGTGTGGCATTAATTCATGGCAACATGGAAAGCTTCTCAGTACTATGGTGCTCTGTTTTTGAGTAAAACTTCCAGAAACAACTTTCAGGGTTTCCTACAGAGGATTTCTTGAATCATGAACCTTAAAATACAAGGAAAATTACTAAAGAAGAGGCATGATTTTGTGAGATACTGCAAAATAATATTGGGAGGAGCTCAATCCATCAGCACTGAACTGATGCAAGGGAACAAACTCAGCACTGGCCTCCTGCAGATTTGTCCCATTTTTCACACCTTCAGTATCCAATTTTAATTTTGATTTGTTTGTTTAGGTTTTGCTTCATTTGGGGTTTTTTGGTAAGGAAGGAAAGCTTTGTTTTGTTCACATTCTGCATGAGAAGCCACCTGCAACCAATTGCTTTGTCAGAAAACCTGGATTTAAAAATTCTGCAAATAATTTTTTTCTCATGCATCACTTTGGGAGTAATTTCTAACAAACTGTGTCACTTCCCCCCACAGCAGAGCTTTGGCTGCCCCAGTCTGTGCACACACTGCCTGTAACTGTGGGTCAGCCATTCCCCCATCCTCACTCTCCAAACTGCATTTTCCAGCACAGAGAAATGCAGACTGGAACTAAGACATCTACAAATCAAACCTGAAGCACCGGGATCAGCCCAAGCTCTGTAAGATTTACCAGCCCAGGAAATGCTGATTAGGGGAACAGGCGTTTGCAAAAAGCAACAGTGAATTTTCTGCATAAGATTTATGGACATAATAAGAGCTGAAATAGACATTTTCCATGGAATGGAACTCGCAGCCGTGTTCTAAATAAAACAGGAACTAAGCGAGCTCAGCCACTTCGCACTTCAAAGCCCCCGGCCAAGGCAGGCATCAATCTCAAAGCTTCAGACACTCTCAGCTCTCAGTTACACTTAAATGGCCTCACAATCCCCCTTTTCCTGGGAGCAGCAGGGCAGGAGGCTCAGAACAGCCTCAGAGCCTGAATGGAAACACATCCGAGCGCCCATTCATTCATGAATTAGCCTTTGGAAGGGGGGAATGGAGGTGCACACTGTACTTAAGCAGGGAACACCATCCCCTGGGGTTACAGGGATCTCACTGATAAATAAACAGGATTAAAAACCTCCCCTCAGACTCCCAGGAGAAGATTTAGCACGTGCTGGCAAAAGCATTGCTGCTCTCACACACACAGACATCAGTGCTGCACACTGGACTCTCTGCCCTGCTCTCATCAGGAAAATATTCCTGCAACAATTCACTCACTGGGAAACATCTCCCACCTCAAGACAGTTCTGTCAGGAAAAGAAAAAATAAAAGAGCAAAGCACTGGCAGTGCAACCCACCCGAGCTGGGAACAAGGCTGGGAAACAGGCTGGGATCCAGGTTATGGATGAGGATCAGACCCAGGCTATGGATCAGGCTGGGATCCAGGCTATGGATCAGGTTCAGACCCAGGCTATGGATCAGGTTCAGACCCAGGCTATGGATCAGGCTGGGATCCAGGCTATGGATCAGGATCAGACCCAGGCTCTGGATCAGGCTGGGATCCAGGCTATGGATCAGGATCAGACCCAGGCTATGGATCAGGCTGGGATCCAGGCTATGGATCAGGATCAGACCCAGGCTCTGGATCAGGCTGGGATCCAGGCTATGGATCAGGATCAGACCCAGGCTCTGGATCAGGCTGGGATCCAGGTTATGGATCAGGATCAGACCCAGGCTGTGGATCAGGATCAGACCCAGGCTATGGATCAGGTTTGGATCCAGGCTATGGATCAGGTTCAGATCCAGGCTATGGATCAGGATCAGACCCAGGCTCTGGATCAGGCTGGGATCCAGGTTATGGATCAGGATCAGACCCAGGCTGTGGATCAGGATCAGACCCAGGCTATGGATCAGGTTTGGATCCAGGCTATGGATCAGGTTCAGATCCAGGCTATGGATCAGGATCAGACCCAGGCTCTGGATCAGGCTGGGATCCAGGTTATGGATCAGGATCAGACCCAGGCTGTGGATCAGGATCAGACCCAGGTTATGGATCAGGATCAGACCCAGGCTGTGGATCAGGTTCAGACCCAGGCCATAGATCAGGTTCAGACCCAGGCTGTGGATCAGGTTCAGACCCAGGCTGTGGATCAGGTTTGGATCCAGGCTCTGGATCAGGTTCAGACCCAGGCTATGGATCAGGCTGGGATCCAGGCTGTGGATCAGGTTCAGACCCAGGCTATGGATCAGGTTTGGATCCAGGCTGTGGATCAGGATCAGATCCAGGCTATGGATCAGGTTCAGACCCAGGCTATAGATCAGGTTCAGACCCAGGCTCTGGATCAGGATCAGACCCAGGCTGTGGATCAGGTTCAGACCCAGGCTATGGATCAGGTTTGGACCCAGGCTATGGATCAGGATCAGACCCAGGCTATAGATCAGGTTCAGACCCAGGCTCTGGATCAGGATCAGACCCAGGCTGTGGATCAGGTTCAGACCCAGGCTATGGATCAGGCTGGGATCCAGGCTGTGGATCAGGATCAGACCCAGGCTATGGATCAGGATCAGACCCAGGTTATGGATCAGGATCAGACCCAGGCTGTGGATCAGGTTCAGACCCAGGTTATGGATTAGGATCAGACCCAGGCTCTGGATCAGGCTGGAATCCAGGCTGTGGATCAGGATCAGACCCAGGCTATGGATCAGGATCAGACCCAGGCTCTGGATCAGGTTTGGATCCAGGCTCTGGATCAGGATCAGACCCAGACTATGGATCAGGTTCAGACCCAGGCTATGGATCAGGATCAGACCCAGGCTATGGATCAGGCTGGGATCCAGGTTATGGATCAGGATCAGACCCAGGCTATGGATCAGGATCAGACCCAGGCTCTGGATCAGGATCAGACCCAGGCTGTGATCAGGTTCAGACCCAGGCTGTGGATCAGGATCAGACCCAGGCTATGGATCAGGTTTGGATCCAGGTTATGGATCAGGTTCAGACCCAGGCTATGGATCAGGCTGGGATCCAGGCTGTGGATCAGGTTCAGACCCAGGCTCTGGATCAGGCTGGGATCCAGGTTATGGATCAGGATCAGACCCAGGCTGTGGATCAGGATCAGACCCAGGCTATGGATCAGGTTTGGATCCAGGCTATGGATCAGGTTCAGATCCAGGCTATGGATCAGGATCAGACCCAGGCTCTGGATCAGGCTGGGATCCAGGTTATGGATCAGGATCAGACCCAGGCTGTGGATCAGGATCAGACCCAGGTTATGGATCAGGATCAGACCCAGGCTGTGGATCAGGATCAGACCCAGGTTATGGATCAGGATCAGACCCAGGCTATGAGCCAGGCCTGCCCCATCAAGGAGCTCAGGAGAGAAGGGATGTCACAGCACCAAAACCCCTCCTGCTCCTTCCCACAGGCATTAAAGACACCCCAGTGTTGATGCCCCCCTCCCTCCCAGCCACAGCAGGTGGAACATCCCAGCTGTCCCTCTGTTCCCACTGTCCCCATGGATGTCACACAATGCCACCAACTCCTTCCCTGCAGCACAGGCTCGGCCCTGATGCCACAGCCACTCACAATCCTGGTGCTAATTATAGCCAGGCAGGGTTTGGAATAAATCTGCTCCCTGACACCACAGCCCTGCCCCTCTCCTGCCTGCGGATCCCCACAGCTCCCAAGGTCACTCAGACATGGAACACCCTCTCCCAAACACCTTTGTTTCTCCTTCCCCTCTGTACCTCCCTATGGAAACACCCAACAGGGATGAGCCTGCTCCTGGAGTTAACAATTCCCAGTCCAGCTCTCCTAAGAACCAAGATTTCTGGAAGCCACTAAATGGTGAAGCTTTAATGAACAATTTTGGGTGTGCAGCTGCTGCTGGGTCTCTCTGTCCCTTCCCAGCCTGCTGTTCACAGCTCTCAGTGTTGATTCCAAGCTATGTTTGACATGGCCTGGAATAGGCATATGGATGCCTCTGTGTGGAAAGGGTTGGATTACACTCACAAACCCCTTCCTGAAACCCAAGCAGCTTTTTTTTTAATGGTAATTTATAGATTAAACCAAGAGAATGCACCCCATCTGTGTAAGTGCCATGTGTGTCACCCAATTGGATGATGCCATGATCTCAGGAAGGGACAGCTTCTCCTGGTCCAACAGAAAATACTCCAAATTGGAAAGGGCAGCCTGGCTTGCACAGAGCTCAAAGGAAGGTTTTCTTTATCCAAGGAAAGCTTGAGAAGGACATTTATAATGGTCTTAACTGTGCTTCACTTCATTCCCTTCTGAGAGAGAGGAGATATCACCTACCTTACAGGATTTAGGGCTAAATATCAACAAACTCTTCTCCTACAGAAAGAGAAGATAATTTTCTAGTTTTATTTTTCTCCTTTTTTTTAATTTAGAAAAACCATTGCAGACCAGGCTTGGAGCAGCACCACACACACACACACACACAGTGTCTGATCCCTCACTCTGGATATCAAATCCCACTCCAGGACAGGGCAGGACTCCTGTTCCAGCACCCAAAAGCTGAAGCAGTTGCCATGTGCTGGTTTGGTTTCCTGGCTGTAAGCACTGTGGGGCTGGAGCTCACAGGAGCTCATCAAACATTCATTAAAAACAAAGCAGCTGTTTATATTAATAGCAAATACACAAATCTTAAGAGTAAATTGTAATGAATTCCACATGTGAGCTGAAAGTACACTCTATCCACTGCAGAACAGTCCAGGAAACTGAACTTCAGTGCTGTAGACTGGATTTAGAAAGCCAGAGCTTTTCATTCCACCTTGGGTATTATGATATATCCAGGCAAATCTCCACTGTGAACAGCACTGTGAACCAGCACTTTGTTTCTAACTCATGACATCCCACCTGCTTGGATAGTTTAATTTTTTTCTATTCTCACAGTTCTTTTCTCACCTGATTCAATAACAGAACAAAAATTCCATTCACTGTTCCGTCAGAGCAGGTTGAACTCGCAGGGCCCACATTAATTTAGTGGAGCCTTAAGACAAATTTCAATCTAAAACATGTCATTTATCACATGTCTGGTAGGAATTAAGAGGGCAAGAAGAATCAAAACCACGTTTAATGGGGTCATGATACCATCCCCCTTTTCAGACTTTCCATTTTAAAATCCAGGGATTTTTCCCACATAATGTCACCATGCACCATCACGTGCTCCCCAGACACACCACCTCTTGCTGCAACAATTAGCCAATTCAGAGAAAAAACACCAGTTAATTAGCTCAGGTTTTAGGGTGATACTCAGGGGAAGCTCCTCATTACACATTCCCCCTGCAGATTAACACAGACAGTGAGTTTCAGCAGAGCTGAGCCTGAGCAGCACAAGCACCTCAGCACAGCTGAACCAGAGTGGCCACCTGGGCACAGCAGAAGCAGAGAGGCCACCTTGGCACCCACGCTCCTGTGGGATCTGTTTCAGCCTATCCAGGAGATGATTTAAACCAAGCACAGCCCCAGGAGATGGGCAGTGCCTGGCAGCCTGTTGCTCCCTGAGAGAGAAATAATTCTCTCTCACAGGATTTTTCCTGGAGAAGCACAGAGAGAAGAAAACAATTCTTATCTCTACTTGCTGCTCCTGTTGTTTTTGCACACGTGGAATGTGTTAGGAAGATTCTTTACCCAAAGTGATTTGTCAATTGGATTCTGCTGAGGATTGTTTTGTTTCCTTGGCCAATTGGGGGAAAAGCTGTGTCCTGACTGTTGGGAGACAGTCATGAGTTTTCTTTAGTTTGTAATTTAGTATAGTATAGTATAGTATAGTATAGTATAGTATAGTATAGTGTAGTATAGTATAGTATAGTATAGTATAGTGTAATATAATATTTCTCTTCACAGAGAAAAGCAAGGGCACAATTCTTCCCAAGGATATTTCTGGTTTTCACATTCTCTGAACCTCAGACAAAGGAAAAACAATTCTTATCTCGTTTGCTGTGCCTGTGTTGTGCCAAAGTAAAATGCAATATGGAGATTGTTTACCCACAGTGATGGGGTTTTGTTTCCTTGGCCTGTCAGGGCCAGGGGTGTGTGTGTGTGTCAGGACTGTCACTGACAGCCACGAGATTCTGTGCAGTGTCTGCAGGGTTGAGTGCTTGGCAGATTCAGTTTAGATGTAATGTAATATAGTATAGAATAATATAGTATAATAAAGTAATTAATTAGCCTTGTGATAAGATGGAGTCCTTCTCATCATTTCTCCCTGCCACAGGGCTCGTCCTGTTTCAATGATAATACAGTTTTAACAAAGCAATTATTCAGCCTTCTGAACCAATGGAGTCAGCTGCCAGTCACTCCCTAGGTCTGAAGCAATGGAGTCACTCCCTGGGCCAGGGGCTGCCTGTTTCTCTCCAGGCAGGCTCTGTCTCACCTGTGCAGGAATTTCTCGTAGCTCTGGCGGTAGGCGAAGCCGGCGCGGCGCACGCGCACGTTCTCCAGCAGCCCCAGGTACTCCACCTGGTGCCGGCAGCGCTCCTCGTCAAACAGCTGAGGGGACTTCTTGTCGTTGGGCTTGATGCAGCGCACGTAGTAGGGCTCCTGGGGACAGAGGAGAGCAGTGTCACCCTGGCAGAACACCCTGGCTGAGACACAGCCCTTCCTGCAGCAGCCGGGAGCTCAGCCCACCACCTCTGTTTTAACCTGCTCAGCACAACCAAGTTAAAACAGAAGTGACAATAACAGTTTAAGGGAACCCTGGATGTGGCACTGAGTGCCATGGTCTGGGTGACAAGGTGGTGTGACGGTGTTCACAGGATGAGGGAAGAGATGAGGATCTGACTCCATGTTTCAGAAGGCTTGATTTATTATTTTATGATATATATTACATTAAAACTATACTAAAAGAACAGAAGAAAGGATTTCATCAGAAGGCTGGCTAAGAATAGAAGAACAAAGAATGATAACAAAGGTTTGTGGCTCAGCTCTGTGTCCAAGCCAGCTGACTGTGATTGGCCATTAATTACAAACATCCAAGATGGGCCAATCCCAGATGCACCTGTTGCATTCCACAGCAGCAGATAACCATTGGTTACATTTTGTTCCTGAGGCCTCTCAGCTTCTCAGGAGGAAACATCCTAAAGAAAGGATTTTCCATAAAAGATGTCAGCAACAAGGTGGTGTTAGGTAATAGGAAGGACTCAGTGGTCTCAAAGGTCTTTTCCACCCTGGCTGATTCTGTGATTCAATGTTCTCCTCCTTCACACCCTTACAGGAGCCACATGTTCCCCACTGGAGCTCCACTGGCCTTTGCTGTGTGTCACAGACACATTTTCTGAAAAATCCTTTCTTTAGGATTTTTTTCTCCTGAGAAGCTGAGAGGCCTCAGGAACAAAATGTAAGCAATGGTTATCTGCTGCTGTGGAATGCAACAGGTGCATCTGGGATTGCTCTCATGTGGTTGTTTCTAATTAATGGCCAATCACAGTCAGCTGGCTCAGACTTTCTGTCTGAGACACAAGCTTTTCTTATTATTCTATTTTTTCTATTCTTAGCTAGATTTTGATGAAATATTTTCTTCTATTTTTAGTATAGTTTTAATAGAATATATATCATAAAATAATAAATTAAGTTTTCTGAAACATGGAGTCAACATTCTCATCTCTTCCCTCATCCTATGACCCCTGTGAACACCATCACAGCTGTGCACCTGCCCAGCACCACATCCCCCCCCAACAGCATCAGTCCTCAGAAAAGATATCAAACCCATGGAATTCATGGAATTCACTGTCCTGTTGGATATTCCTTTGCCTGCTCCAAAAGCAGCCTGGTCACTCCACACTTTTACCTGTGCTGAGCCAAGTCAAACACCCCCAGCTCCAACACAGCTGAACAATGGAAATGATGGAGCCCCAAACCCAGCTGCCTCCAGCCCAGCCCTTCCTCAGCACACACACAGACCACCAGCACAAACACAGCCCTTCCTCAGCACAAACACAGACCACCAGCACAAACACAGCCCTTCCTCAGCACACACACAGACCACCAGCACAAACACAGCCCTTCCTCAGCACAAACACAGACCACCAGCACGTGAGTTCCCCTTTCTGCACCATCTGGGAAGGTGGAATGGGGACAGGTGGCTTCACTCCACCCTGCAGAAGTCCTGCCCTGTGCTGCTGGGGCTGACCCTGGGTGAGTCCCACAGGGTCACACTCCTGTCCCTGCCAGCCCTCCTGCACCCTGAGGTCAGCCACACACAGCTCTGTTGGAGCATTTTGACGTTTGCTTTCATTTTCATGAGATTAAAGGTAGCTTTTGTTTAGGCCAATATGATCTGTAACCAGCACCAGCCTTGGAGGATGGCTACAAAGCCTTTAAACTTATGTACTTTCATCCCACTGGCTTTTGGAGTTCATTCATTCCTTCCTCTTCATGGCTGGTCTTTGCTATCCCACTCCTAAATTTATTGGTGTGTGGAAAAGCAATTAATAATCAGAGAACCACAAAACATTCTGAGTTAGACCTCAAGGATCATCCAGCCCAACTCCTGCACAGACACCTCAATAATCCCACCCTGGGCATCCCTGAGAGCTCCTGGAGCTCTGGCAGCCTCCAGACCATTCCCTGGGGAGCCTGGGCAGTGCCAGCACCCTCTGGGGGCAGAACCTTTCCCTGAGATCCAGCCTGACCCTCCTCTGGCACAGCATCACCTAAAGCCCACTGTGGCTTTACAAATTGTATTTTTCGAACATTAACAGATAAAACTTGTTAAGTGGCCCTTGCAAAAGGAGTGGCACATCCTGCAGGCTGGCAGAGCCCACCCAGCCTCAGCCTCAGCCTCAGAGAGAGCTCCAAGAGGATCCCAGTAGGGCCCAGTATGGCCAGAGACTGTCAGAGAACATCCCAGATGCACACCAACTGCAGCATTCCAAAGGCAGCTCTGACATGGGGATAAAGGGAGAAAACCAGCCTGGGTGACATCTGAACGTGACAAAATGTCACCTTTGGTAACCACAGCTGATAACCAGCAGTGACCTTTCAGCAATGGCTGGGAAACCACCTCTAACACTGCCCTGAGGAACTGAGGGATCCCAAAAGGGACAGCCCAGGAATTCTCCAGAGGAGCCTGTTCTGTTCCAGCACTCCTGGATGGCCTCAAGGACTCACAAAAGGGAGGAATGGTCTGGGGGAAAAAAGGGATTAATTTAATGAGAATAAATGCAAAGTTCCACATTTATCAGAAAGAGTTGGTTAAGAAAGAATGAAAAACTGATTTGAGTTGGTTAATAAAGAATGAAAAACTGATTTGAGCCTGGTGCTAAAGAGATCCAGAAGCTCCAGCTGATGTGAGGCAAATCCATGTTTCCATGTTTTTCTAGGAAAGGACACAGGAACAGGAAATTTTCAAGACAAAAACCCCAACACATTTCTAGTTCTCTGAGCATCTCATGCAGCCAGGGCACTGCAGTTCAAGTGGGAATGTGAGTCAGGGCAAGAAAGAACAAGAAAGATCAAAAATCCAGCAAATGTGACTCAGAGGAATTCTGGGTTTAGCCTAGAAGGACCAAGGAGGCACAGAACCTCTCTGGTGGGAGATTTTGTGTATTTAAAGGATGGATATGAAGAAATGCAAACATTCAGCTTTATGACAAAGAAGTCATGGTTTTAAGCACAGTATAAAAATTCAAATTAAGCTTCAGGAAAACAAGGAGTAGGAACAGAATGCCTGTGGGAAGAAGGGAACATCCATCAGTGGGGAGCCTGCAAAGGGAAGATACAGGCAGAGGTGTCCTCAAACAGGAGGTGAATTTGGTGCACTCCCAAGGTCCCCCCCAGCCCTATTTCCTATGATTTGTCTATTCAGCTTTATTTCTATGATTTGAGGTCACTTACCCAAACTCAGGATAACATGAAAGGCCTCAAATTGTCATTTCCCTTCAGTAATGCTGAGGGAACAGGATCATCCATGGCTGTCCTGGCTAGTCCTGACACCACCTGAAGCTTTGCAGCCCTGGACCAGCCCAGAGATGAGTGTGAGGCATGAATGGGCCAAGAAAGGCAGACCTTGGAAAGCAAAGCCTCCTATCCTGAATGCTGCCACAAGCCACTGCCTCTTCCATGTTGGATAAAGCCCTTTTCCAACCCACAGATGGGGTCAGACCTGCCCTGTGCTGCATCTGGTGGCAGGATGAATATAAATCATCTAAATCCCTGGAAGGGGTTGATATCACAAATATTCCACAGAACTGCAAAGCCTTGGGCACAGAGCATCCAAATTAAATCACCATGGAATGGTTTGGGTTGGAGGGGACTGTGAAGATCACCCAGAGCCACCCCTGCCATGGGCAGGAATCACCTTCCACAATCCAGGTGGCTCCAACCTGGCCCTGGACACTTGCAGGGATGGGGCAGCCCCAGCTTCTCTGGACATGTCATTAGGAGCAGGAATTCCAGGAGTGCCACTGTTCACTGCTGACACAGCAGCAGCCAGGTCCCAGCTGTTCCTCATGATGCCACAGGATCCCCCAGCACAGGCACAGCTCTGCCACTCCCAAATGCAAAACCCCTCAAAACCCCTCAAAACCCCTCAAAACCCCTCAAATCTGTGACTTCAGGTCCAGCACAGAGGGCAGTGACTGTGCCTGCATTTGATATAAAAAGGCTGAAATCCTTTGGAAAGCAGGAATGGGAAGTGCCTGCACAGACAGAGATCATCTATCAGTGCAATTACAGTGTAATTAAAGCCTCTCAGAAACGACAGCTCCTGGAGTAAATTCTAAAGTAGATTATTCCATGCTTCCAAATCCCCAAGCCCCAGCTCTTCAGGGGGATAATTATGCAGCTCCCATTCTTGCTGTCATAGAAGTGCAGTTTGTAAAGGGAAGAACTGAAATGCAGAGACACAAAGGCCCCAGCTCTGAAAGCTCTTTGGATGTTTAATTGCAGCTGATTTTATTTTTTCCATCAAGCTTTTAGATTTAAGTGTTAAAAAGAAACCAAGCCAGTTTTAAGCCATTGCACCCTAAACAAACTCTTTCTTGAGGGGTCCCTTTTCTGTACTTTATAGCACCTTACATGAGAGAAGGGATGGGACAGGACAGACAAATTTGTGCTGGATGTGTCCAATCAGTCACAATGATGACATTATCACTTAGCAGAGGTGAAGCCTGTCAGCCTGGATGGAAGGAAGAGTCAGACAAAAGGAGTTACAGAGGAGGAGGAGGAAAAAAAGAAAAGAAATAAGGAGGAGATGCATGTTCAAAGAGTCCCCAGAGAAGATTGTCAGTCACAGCTGGGGCAGCCACAGGGCTTTCTGTGTCAGGATTTACAAAACAGCCACCCAAAATAATCCACCACACAGAAAAGGGCTTGGGCAGTAAAACATGTTCTTGAGAAATGGCACACAGCAACAGGAAAAGCCAGTTTTTGTTTTGAGTGGTTTGGTTTTGGAAAAAACATTGTACTTTTTCCTACCTACAGGAAGCTTTTGCCCAAAAGACCCTGGAAATCTGGAGGATTTCAGCAGCATTGAGATACCTGTGCTGATAAGCATAATTTAAACTCAGTGTGCTCCAAAACCAGATTTCATGGAATCACAGAATTGTTCAGGCTGGAAAAGCTCTCTGAGATCATCAAATCCAGCTGATCCCAGCACTGCCAAGGCCACCACTGCCCCCTGTCCCCAAGTGCCACGTCCACATGGCTTTTAAATCCCTCAGGGATGGGGAGTCCATCACTGCCCTGGGCAGCTGTGCCAGTGCCTGAGCACCTTCTCCATCAATAAATTGTCCCAGTATCCACCCTGAGCCTGCCCTGGCCCAGCCTGAGGCCGTTCCCTCTGCTCCTGTCCCTGTTCCCTGGAGCACAGCCCGGCCCCCCCGGCTGTGCCCTCCTGGCAGGAGCTGTGCAGAGCCACAAGGGCCCCCTGAGCCTCCTTTGCTCCAGGCTCAGCCCCTGCCCAGCTCCCTCAGCCCCTCCTGGGGCTCCAGACCCTTCCTCAGCTCCCTCAGCCCCTCCTGGGGCTCCAGACCCTTCCCCAGCTCCCTCAGCCCCTCCTGGGGCTCCAGACCCTTCCCCAGCTCCCTCAGCCCCTCCTGGAGCTCCAGACCCTTCCCAGCTCCATTCCCTTCTCTGGACATGCTCCAACCCCTCTGTGTCTTTCCTGTTCTGGGAGCCCCAAAACTGCCCCCAGGATTGGAGGTGTGGCATTTCCAGCCACATTTCCAGTGTCTCCATATGGGCTTGTGTTTGCAGAAGCTGAAATTAAAACCAGCTTTGAGAACAGCCCCTGCACTGTTAACAACACCAGTGCCATGGCACTGACCCTAGGGAAGCTCTTGAGGCATCCCAGTGACCTCAACACCTGCCCCTCCTCTCAGAGACTGCAGAGCTCTGCCTCACCACCAAAATTCAGGTTTAAACCAGAATAGCAACAAAAGAGAATTTTAAAGTTTGTTATTTTAAATAGCAGAGAAGTTAAATAACTTTAATGCTGCACTACTGGAGACTTTGATATTCTGGTGGTGCTGAGCTGATGGTTGAACTCAATGATCTTAATTAAATGTATTTTCCAGACTTTATAATTCTAAAATGTCAAGATTATTGTTATTTAAATTGGCACTTTTGGACACTATTCCCCCAAAGGAGGGTTTGAAGATTCTCTTGCTACAGCCAAAGCCCTGCAGCTTTCCAGGGTGGCCAAACAGGAATATCAATAAAGAGGAGCTCTTGGGCTGCCACCCTGTTGAGGACTGCAGAAACTGAGCATGTAAATGTGGTGTAGAGGAGTTTTCAGAGAAGCTCTGAGGCAGAGCAGCCCAGGTGAGACAAGGAGCACTGAATGCACTGGGCACACCAGGAAATGTCAATAAACCATCAGCTCAAGCTGCACAAAACTCAAGCCTATCTGCAACTTGGTTTTTTGAGAAAGAGCTGAGAATAACATGAACTGCTGTTACCTCCCCTAAGGAATTTTATTCCTCTGACATCCCTGGACCTCAGCAGTTTGTGCAACCCTGTGTTCAGAGCTGTTTCCATCAGCTGTGACCACAGGCTTCCCAAAAAAGTCCTGCAGGGTCCAAGCCACAGTCAAGACACACAGAGAGTGTCACTGTTGATTCCCCACTAGTGCAGCTTCATTCCCAAATTCAGCACAGGAAAAATGAGTAACAGCCCCAGGAAAGGATGAGAACACCTGGAACTGCAGGATGGGGTACCCAAAACAGGGAGTGCCTTCACCAGCACAGCTTCCAGCCCAGCAGAAGGAAGAGCCAAGTGTGCAGAGACTGAGGCTGAGCATCCAGCTCCTTGTGCATGACCAGCATCTTGCTGGCATGGCCTGAATACCCAATCATTGCTTGCTAATGACATGTACATATCATTAACTGTCCTAAAAGTCACCTCACAGAGATGCTCAGGGCTCTGTCTGCACTCTGAATTACTGCCTGAAGTACACAAAGTTTGTGTTCAGGGGTTTTGTCTAAGGAACCTCCCCAAAATTTAGACCCTTTAAAATGACACTGGCCTGGCTGCAGGATGAGTTTCACCCACACAGCTCCTGCCAGGAGGGGACAGCCAGGGGGGTCAGGCTCTGCTCTCAGGGAACAGGGACAGGAGCAGAGGGAACAGCCTCAGGCTGGGCCAGGGGAGGTTCAGTTTGGATATTGGGAAAATTCCTTTATGGAAAGGGTTGTCAAGCCCTGGAAGAGGCTGCCCAGGGCAATGGTGGAGTCCTCATCCCTGCAGGTGTTCAAAAAGGTGTGGATGTGGCACTTGAGGGGTCAGTGGTGGCCCTGGTCATGCTGGGGATACGTTGGACTCAGTCTCAGAGAGCTTTTCCAGCCTGAACAATTCTGTGACTCCAAGAAATCTGGTCTTGGAGCACACTGAGTTTAAATTATGCTTATCAGCTCTGGTATCTCAGTACTGATGAAATCTTCTTTTCTTCATTGCTATTCAACAGAAAATCACAAAAACACCAACAGCTTCAATGCAAGTTTCTCAATGAAAGCTTAGGACAGGTAAAGAAAGGGAAAGGACTACACTGAGACTGTCTCAGGAACCTCCCAGTGAATTTGACTTGGAAACAGCTCCTGCTTGTGCCTACCCCTGGAAAGGCTGGCAATTATTATGGAGATACTGATGATAAATGGATTGAAGTAAATTAATTCCACCCAAGCCAGGCAGCCTTCAGTGAGCAATGCTGGTACCCACTGGTTCAAGATGGATAAGGTGGGATTTAAACTCTCCATGCCCTGCTGGGAGCTGCAGGGATTGTTCAAACCTCCACAGTGCACAGCATTCTCTGAACTATTCTATTTTTACACCTACCAGGTGGCCTGGAATCATTTTTCCAATAAACAAGGAAAGGAAGTTTTTCCATGGATGCCTGCTGAACTTGCCTGCTCCCAGCTCCCTGCTGTGCCCTGATCACAGCCCCCTCACAGCACCCCAGGGATTCTTTCTGTCCTGAACCCCTCCTGGGCTGCCTCAGGCTCCCCACACTGGGCTGGGCACAAGTGACCACGGCCACTTTGTAGGACCAGACCTGCAATAACAGCACCAAGGAGAAACTTTTCCTTCCACAAGTGCTCCTCTCACAACACAAAGCAACTCCCTGGGTTCCTGGCTCTCCTGACACCTGTACCAGATTCAGGGCAGGGCCAGGCAGCAGATTATTTGGAAGATGGACAGATCAGATCAGTTTTGACTCCTTGGGAACCAGACTAAAGTCTGTGCCCATGCCCAGCAGGGTCACAGCCCCCTTCCAGCTCTGGCAGCCCATGATTTGCCATCCAGAAAGCTCCTCTCTGCCTCCACAGGCACTCTCTGAAGTTTCACTGCTGGTGCCTATTTTAGCAAGGCCTGGCCTTGGGCTGGACTCACAGGGGGATCTCAGGAGCTCTGAGGCAAAACATTCTGGGGGGAGCCACGGGGCTCCACTCCCCACTGGGGCCCAGCTGGCACCTCCAGGCAGCTTTGGTGGGTCCCAGACCCTCCTGCAGAGCTCAGATCAAACCCACTCCTGTACAGCAACACAAAACACAGAATCATGGAATCCCAGAATATCCTTTGTTGGGAGGACCCCCAGAGATCATTCAAACTCCTGGCTCTGCACAATCCCACCCCTGGAGCATTGTCCAGCTGCTCCTGGGCTGGGACCATTCCCTGGGGAGCCTGGGCAGTGCCCTCTGGGGAGGCCCCATAAATCAGGTGTGATTCCATGTCCTAACCCTGGACACAAGAAGGGAGGGCAGCTCTGTCTGCTGTGCACAGCCAGCACTGGGTGCTGTGCTCTCACCCATCTCCTTTGCTCCCACAGCTCCTGAGAAGACACCCAGAGCACTCATTGCTTAATTATTCTGCATGTGAGCACACCCCAGCACCCTGGGCTCTCTGCTCATCTCCTGTGGGCTGGGCCCCAGTGCCAGGAGCCCAGCAAGGCCACCCAGCTCCAGTAACACCCCAGTGCTGCTCAGGGACCCCAGCTCAGCTCCCAGAGCTGCTCCACAGCCCCTCCCAGAGCATCCCCTTCCCCACCTTCCATCACTCAGTGTGGTGCTTGCCCCAGCAAAGCCTTCTGCCATCAAACTGAAATATGGGCTGAAGTAAAATCCTTCCCTCCTCACCCTCTGGCATGGCAAAGGGGAGGAAAGAAGGAGCTCACACAGGTCTGTATTGCATTCCCACTGGCATGGGAAACCAGAGAGAACCTCTGAACCATGAACAGCATCCTCTGGGCCCTCTGCCCAAAGAGCTTTGCTAAACATGATATAATAATAATAATAATAATAATAATAACAATAATAATAATAATAATAATAATAATAATAATGATGATGATGATGATGATGATGATGATGAAAGTTTAGGACAGGTAAAGAAAAGGAGAGGACTACATTGAGACTCACACAGGAACCTCCCAGTGAATTTGACTTGGAACCACAACCACAACCCTAAGACAGACTGGCTTTCCTACAAGTGAAAGATGCACTGGCCATGGAGGAGCCAAAAATCCACCTTCATCATGGGGGATGGAGGTGACCCTCCCTCCAGGCCTGCCCAGCCAAAGCCTGTTTGGCACAGACAAGGCTGCTGTGCCTTTGATCAGCTTAGCTCCTGATGGATGGCAGCAATGGGAGGCTGGGAATCTCTCCAGGGAGAAGCCACACTCTTCTCACCAGATGTCAATTTTGAAACAGGAACCTTTACCTTCAGTGTCAGGTTGTCCACCAGGGCAATCATGGAGTTCTTGAACAGAGTAGCTGCTGTCAGAGGTCTCTTGGTGACCTCAGTGATGCTCAGTTTCCCCTCAGGCCACATCATCTTCAACACAGGGTTGGAGCTACAAGAGAATCTCTTTAATTCCACTGCACTGACAATCCAACAGTTGGTTTTACCCAGACCCACTGCTGCTTCCAGCTCACAGGGCATCACCCAAGCCAGGGTGAGACCCCTGGGCAAAACATTTCATGCTCTTAAGAGCAAGTTCAAGCTTTCAACTGAACATTCTGGAAAAACAACCAGCACATTCTCCCTCCAGATCAGGGTGTGCAGGAATAGGAGAGAGAAAATCCCACATAATGATCCATCAAAGGCAGGGGCTGCCTCACTGACACAACAGGAAGAATTTAATGCACACAAAGGAGAGGGAGACCCACACCACCCTCCCTTAGAACCTGTCACCTGTGTTTAAGCTGCATTTCTGCACCTCTCTTGATATATTAAGTAATTTATACACTTGAGCCTGCATTTCTGAAGAGATCAGGGTGAGGTAAACTGGCCCTGATGGATGGCAAGAGCTCAGGAACAAACAGAAACTGAGCACATTTACAGCAATCTAATGGCCAATCTGTCCAAGGCTTTAATGTGCTGGAAGTGGTGTTTGGGAACAGGATTTTCCAGAGACTTCACAGAAAACAGGCTAAATTTGATAAAACCACACAGCAAATATTTTGCAAGGTTTCTGGTCAATGGGAAGTGTTGAAAACAGGAACAGTGGGAGTGCTCAGGGGAGCACAGCCAGTCAGCCCAAAGGGCTGCAGACCAATTTAACATCTGTCCAGGTACACAGAGCCCACCACTGCAGGGTGTTTGTGCCCACTGTCCTCTGAGCAGAGCCCCTGAAAGCTGCAGATTACAAAATGAGGACGTGAAGAAAAACAGCTCCATGAGGACTTCCACCCACATTCTGACAGGATTTCAAATCTGCTTCTCAAGGCAACTTTTGCTTGCCCAACACGTGCCCTCATGGTTTGCACTTCTCACACCACTGCAGACATGAAAGGATTCACAGCTATCCCCTCATTTCTTTCAAAAGAGTGGTTTAGGTGGGGCTGAGGATTTCTGCTGTTGACCAAAGCTCCCCAGCATCTTCAGCACTGATTAGAGACAGAGCAGTGATGGTAAATCTGCAATGGGTTCATGACAAATCAGGCAGCACAAGCAAGCTCTGCACTATCTTGATTGCACCATCAGTTGGTTTCAAAAAAAAACCACTTTAAATTCTGTTCAATTAAAGGCTGCATCAGAACAGAAACATGTACAGAATAAGGACTTTAACCTGAAAAATCCAACAGACAGCCTCTGGGTCATGGGAGATGTACAAAGATCAAATCCCAAAGCAATGTGCTTATTCACACACACTGCACTGAAAACCTGAGTCTCTGATAGCATCACTCCACAAAAAAGGATTCTGACAAATCAGATTAAAATTCACCTCATTAAAATCCTTACCTGTTGTACATGAGGCGTTTGAAGTCTTGAAATAAAGTGTCCTTGTTTTTATCAATGAATCCAGTGACAGAGTAACTAAAAATGAAGGAAAACCAGAGTTAATTGCAAAGTAGCAAAGTCCTTCTGTGAGCTGCTGGTAGCTGTGGAATCAGCATCCCTGCACTCCTACAGACCCAGCAGATGCTAATCCAGCCCTGCTCCCAGCCTGTCCTAATGCTGCAGGAGCAGAGTGTGGGATTGGATCCTTGGGCCCAGCTCCCACCTCCAGCTCAGGAACAGCACCCCTGGCCTCAGAGAGCTCCAGGACAGAACAGCACACCTGGCTGCAGAGAGCTCCTGGAGCAGGAACAGCACCCCTGGCTGCAGAGAGCTCCAGGAGCAGGAACAGCACACCTGGCCTCAGAGAGCTCCTGGAACAGGAACAGCACCCCTGGCTGCAGAGAGCTCCTGGAATAGGAACAGCACCCCTGGCTGCAGAGAGCTCCAGGAACAGCACCCCTGGCTGCAGAGAGCTCCAGGAACAGGAACAGCACCCCTGGCTGCAGAGAGCTCCTGGAACAGGAACAGCACCCCTGGCCTCAGAGAGCTCCAGTACAGGGACAGCACCCCTGGCCTCAGAGAGCTCCAGGAACAGCACCCCTGGCTGCAGAGAGCTCCTGGAGCAGGAACAGCACCCCTGGCTGCAGAGAGCTCCAGGAACAGCACCCCTGGCTGCAGAGAGCTCCTGGAACAGGAACAGCACCCCTGGCTGCAGAGAGCTCCTGGAACAGGAACAGCACCCCTGGCTGCAGAGAGCTCCAGGAGCAGGAACAGCACCCCTGGCTGCAGAGAGCTCCAGGAGCAGGAACAGCACCCCTGGCCTCAGAGAGCTCCAGCACAGGAACAGCACCCCTGGCCTCAGAGAGCTCCAGCACAGAACAGCACCCCTGGCCTCAGAGAGCTCCTGGAACAGGAACAGCATCCCTGGCTGCAGAGAGCTCCTGGAACAGGAACAGCATCCCTGGCTGCAGAGAGCTCCTGGAACAGGAACAGCACCCCTGGCCTCAGAGAGCTCCAGGAACAGGAACAGCACCCCTGGCTGCAGAGAGCTCCTGGAACAGCACCCCTGGCTGCAGAGAGCTCCAGCACAGAACAGCACCCCTGGCTGCAGAGAGCTCCAGGAACAGCACCCCTGGCTGCAGAGAGCTCCTGGAGCAGGAACAGCACCCCTGGCTGCAGAGAGCTCCAGGAACAGCACACCTGGCCTCAGAGAGCTCCTGGAACAGGAACAGCACCCCTGGCCTCAGAGAGCTCCTGGAACAGGAACAGCACCCCTGGCCTCAGAGAGCTCCTGGAACAGGAACAGCACACCTGGCTGCAGAGAGCTCCAGTACAGGAACAGCACCCCTGGCCTCAGAGAGCTCCAGTACAGAACAGCACCCCTGGCTGCAGAGAGCTCCTGGAACAGGAACAGCACCCCTGGCTGCAGAGAGCTCCAGGACAGGAACAGCACCCCTGGCTGCAGAGAGCTCCAGGACAGGAACAGCACCCCTGGCCTCAGAGAGCTCCAGGACAGAACAGCACCCCTGGCTGCAGAGAGCTCCTGGAACAGGAACAGCACCCCTGGCTGCAGAGAGCTCCAGGACAGGAACAGCACCCCTGGCTGCAGAGAGCTCCAGGACAGGAACAGCACCCCTGGCTGCAGAGAGCTCCAGTACAGGAACAGCACCCCTGGCCTCAGAGAGCTCCAGGACAGAACAGCACCCCTGGCCTCAGAGAGCTCCTGGAACAGGAACAGCACCCCTGGCTGCAGAGAGCTCCTGGAACAGGAACAGCACCCCTGGTCTCAGAGAGCTCCTGGAGCAGGAACAGCACCCCTGGCCTCAGAGAGCTCCTGGAGCTGTGCAGGTGCTGGCTGAGACACCTCACAGCACCTGGGCAGGGGGTAGAAGGCCCAAATTCAGGATTTACACTCAGGATTCTGTCTCCAAACTGGGTGTGTGTGTTTGTGTTAAATCCTAGAGAAATTCAGGTTTGTTTTTCAATCTCTGCAGTCTGCCCCTCTCTCAGCAGAGAGTCTGAATTCCTGAGCAGCCTCTGAGTAGTGACTGGGAGCTGCCCTGGAAGTCAGCACACACAGAAACACACACACACTTGAGATTCCTTCCTTCCTCTGCTCCCACAGGAGCACCACTGGAGGAGGTCACTGTTCCAGGATTTCATCTCCTCCAGCTCTCAAGGCAGGCAGTGCTCTGTCCTCTCAGAAAAGGTCCAAAGTCTCCCCATTCAGTGACTCCCATGCAGATGTTTCCTGAGCTCCAGATCCCACCCTGGGAAGCTGCACCCAACCTACAGACTGGGATCACCCCACAACCTGCAAATCCCTGTATGGAGCCATCCTCAAATCCCAGAGTCACGGAACAGGGTCTTTCAAATGGCACCCAGTGCCACCCCTGCCATGGCAGGGACACCTCCCACTGTCCCAGGCTGCTCCAAGCCCCAATGTCCAGCCTGGCCTTGGGCACTGCCAGGGATGCAGGGACAGCCCCAGCTGCTCTGGGCACCCTGTGCCAGGGCCTCACCATCCTCAAGTCTTGGGCCTGAACTATCTGTGATTCCTTCCACATTTCAGTTTTCTTTTACACCATTTGTCAGCCATGGGCAGTTCAGAAGGTTCAGCCACTAAGACAGCACCTTGTATTTCCTCCCCCTAAACCCTCTAAAATCAGAAATGTCTGTCAGGAACTGCTCAGCAAAGACTCCAGAAGATAACCTGCTTGTGCTATTTGGGCTCCAATCTGATCACACTGGTTGTTCTTGGAAATTAAAGGTAAAATTAATCCCAAGGTAAAAGAAATCATTAATTCTTCCTTTAGTAACTCCCTTTCTTCTGACATGGGAAGTTACACAAATTCTAAACCATTCAATTACTCCAGTGATATTCCACACACCAAATGGTTTCTACCATGTGCATCCTTCACTTTCACTCACTCTCCCTTCCCAGTGCTGTCACCTCCTGCACTTGTTCCTGCAGGCTCCAGGCAAACACTTCCCAGCCCTCCTGCCCTGATCCCTCCTGCAGGTTATCTCTCCCCTGGGCTCCCAGCCTGCTCCAACTGATTGGAGAATTTAAAGCCACAGTTATATAATCACACCAAACAGATGTCTAAACCAGACTTTATTAGCTCAGTGTAGCTTTCTTGCATAAACACTGCTGCCTTTTTTCCCTTTTCCTTCCCCTGGAGCACTGCTCTCCCCTCACCCCTCACTCTCCTTTTGTTTCACTCCAAGTACAAATTCCCCCTCTGTAGAGCAAGGCACCAGCAGAAGATTTAATTGATAAGCAAGTGCTGCACTCTGTAATTGTGTGTGACAGCTATTCTGGCTTGCACCAGAAGCAGCAGTAAATCAGAATATTGTGCCACTTCAGAGCTGCTGGGAAGACAAAAATAAAATGTGCAGCTTTATTTCAGAAGGAAACTCACATCACATCCCCGGCGTAGTGCTTGATCCGGAAATCTCTGTCAAACTCCAGCGTTTTGTCTGTGGCACAAAGCTGAAACAAATTCACATACATTAAAATACCACCCATGGATTGATATTAAAACACCAGCCCTGGATTTACAAGCTCCATGGAAGAGTAACCTGCCTTCAAAATAGCACTGGGAACTACAGGAATTCCACTTTCTGTGTGCATGTGCAGATGTGAAAGCCACTGCTGGAAAATGTTTTCATGGATGCACTGTAAGAACATGTGCTTGTACAAATGAAGCTGCAAGAGCCTATAATTTCATGAAGAAATTGATACTATCCCAGAAACACCATTATGCAAAAAGAACACTCGTGCCTGTAGAGAAACATTGCACCCACGAGTTGATTTATTACTTTTTTAAGTCTTCCTTTATGCTTTTTTGCCATTGCAGTGTAACTGCAGAGAAATGTGACAGCAGCAAGGCTTGCTCAGTCCCAGACCCCTCCTGGTCATCTGACACCCCTCAAACAGGGAACCCCCTGCAGACCCACTGTTCCAGGCTCAAATTCCCATCCCATCCCATCCCATCCATCCCATCCCATCCCATCCCATCCCATCCCATCCCATCCCATCCATCCCATCCCATCCCATCCCATCCCATCCCATCCCATCCCTTCTGCCCAGTGTCCACATGGCAGCTGTTCAGCAGCAGTGCCTGTAACACACTCAGGAATAGCAGGAGCCAAAAAATCCATCAGGGTTGGCTTAATTAAAAAAGGAGTATGAGATAAGAATGAGGATTTTGTTATAGGCAAAAGGAGCAGGAGATGAATTAAGTCTTTGCAGGCAGAATTTAACAATACCAAGGGCTATGAGCAGATATCTGCTATCCACAAAAAGTCTTGGAGAAATAAAAGAGGAAATTATCATGGTTGAAATAAAGTGCAGGAAGGATGATTAGGAGCAGGGAGATACACTCCAAAAATTCACCTGTGTCCAAGAACACAGAATAGATTGGCTCAGACTGTAAGAAGGGGTGAACAAACCAGAATATATTTTACACAAAATGAATCAGAAGGAGGAGCCCAAGGAGTGTGAGTACCAAGGGGAGGTGTGGGGAGTCCAGCAGGGCAGGAGCAGGGAGCACCAGGAGCTGCAGAGCTGATGGATGACCAAGGTGCAGCAGAACACAGGGAAAATGAAGACAGGAGGCAATGCCAGGGAAACAAAGGCATTTTTCTTGCTGCAGCTTTGCTCCCAGCAGGGGCCTGGGGAGTGCCTTTTTCAGCTACCCAAACACACAGCTCAAACCAACAAGTCAATAAAAGGGGTAGATACCAAATGGCAACAGAAATGTGTCTGTGCTACCAGGCAGGGCACAGCTGGCAGCACAAACTCCTCTGAAAGCTCACCCAGCTCTGAGAGGCTGGAAGGAGCCATAACAGCAAGCAGGGATTTTGTTGTTTGCTGGTTTGGCTTTTTCCAAAGGAGTGATTCTGTCTAAACTTTGTGCTTCCTGAATAAAACAGTTGAAATGAGTGAAAAAAAGACCAGCAAGAACATTGATACAGTGGATCACCTGCCTGGGATTCTGTGAGCCCTTCCAGGAGGCTCCTCACTGACAGCTCACAGCATCCAAGGGTGAGTAAAGACAGGAGAAAGGTGTTGGAAAGATGGGAATCCTGTGGGAGCCTGCCCTGAGCCTGTGCTTTCACAGCATCTGAAATGAGCCATAATCTGAGGGCAAGGGAAGGTCAGAGGGCTGGGTGGGGGCACTCAGTCACTGAGGGCTGGCTGGGAACAGCCAAATGAGGGCAAAGCAGAGCAAATGGAACTCCCCAGCAGGGCAGGGACTCCCACTGGGAAAGGGCAAAGTTCACAGGAACTGATGGGCCCCAAACCATCCCTTCCTGACTCAACAGGGATCTTAACAGACCCTCATTCATCTCAACCAGGACATGGAGAACTGGGAGAGGCTTAAAGGGCAAAACCCATCCTCTGTGACTGACTGCCCTGGAGGATGGGCCAACAAACTCAGCTGCCCCAGGTAAGGAAAGAAATGCCAGAGATGATGGCAAAACATGTGGAGATGATGTAGTGGAAGACAAAGAAAAATGTGTTTTGCCATTTAAAAACTGGAGGTGAGAGGTGTAATCTAAAATGGAAAAGGGAGGAGGGAAACAGGGAGGAAGGAGCTCTTCACTTGAATATCTGAGCTGTGGAATTCTTTGTTGATTTAAAAACCAAGAAGACCACACAAAAACCCTGTTAAGAAGACCAGGAGGTTCCTGGGCTGCAGGTGCCTGCACAATGGGAGCCTGTCAAATTATCAGTACACATTTGTCCTGTATTGGGCTCTCACTTGGGCATTCACCACTGTCCAGTGTCCCAGGAGACACAACAACAGAACTGGAATGGACCTTCTGATACTCTTCCCTTCACAAGCAGTTTGTTGAGATTGATGCTCTCCACAATTTGAAGATTGAGGCATTCATGGACTGTCTGTCACTGCCCTTGATCCTTCCAAAGTATAATATCAACAGAAAATCAATGGAACTTGGAGAGGTTGAGGATACAAATGGTGATCTTGGGAAGGGCCACTAGAACAGCTGGCACATCTGCACATCCAGATTAGCACTAGACAAACCCGAGGAGGACACCCCATGCTCCAGGAACACAAAATTCTGCACAAATTCTGCTGGTGGAAGTGTTAAGCTGCATTGTCCTGGCTCGTTTGGCCTTGCCCAGGACAAGGGCAGTGATTCCTCCACTCTGGCAGCTCAGAGCAGCCGGGTACACAAAGTAGGACACGACTATTTAGGGCACCACAGCCCCCCAGAGCTCCTCCACATGGAGCCTGTGTGCAGCATGCTCTGCAGGGAGCAGTGGAGCATGAACTGGGCTGAGGGATGGGAGCTGTTCCCAACACATGCACGTTAACTCCTTGGGAACAGCTCCCATCTGTGTGGAACTTTACAGGATCTGCATGGAACCACTGCAGTCTGCAAAGGCAGGGCATGAGTGGAATCAAGCTCTTTGTTTTAATCCAAGTTAGAAAAGCCTGGCTCAGAAGGTTCAGGCTTCCCACAGCAGCTCTGGGTGGGACTGAAGAAGAGCTCTGAGGTGCTGGGATGTCTGCAGAGATGGGAGAAAAGATAATAATTATGCTGAGAGGTTTATGGGTCAATGTTTTCAAGGCTCTATTGATTGAACTAGAAATTAGCAAGCCAGGCAGATCCATCAGCCCCTCCATAAACATTATTTACAGCAGGATTCCTTGCCTCCCTCTTAGCCTGTGCAGGCAGTTTGTGACAACGCCACCTCCTGCTGAGGAGTGCTGCAGCTGGCAATGCTGCCCTTTAACGTCTCCTTGCTGGGAGGGGACTCCCAAAGGCAAGGACTTGAGCAGATTTTATTTTTAAATGTTCATTTTATAGCCTCCCATAGCACCTCCTGAAATTCCATCCCCTTCTGCCACTGCACTAAAGGACCACCTGCTCCCTCTGTGGCAGAGCCCCTTCCCCTGGGCAGATGTGGGAGCAAGGACAGAACAGAAACCAAACTCCTCTCTGACATCCACTGACCAGACAGCTCCAGAAACTGGACCAGGCCCCAGCATCCTGCTGCAGAGGATCCCAGACTTCATCCCACCAGTACTACCACTGCAGGAAGCAGTTTGTATTCAAACAGGAACCCAGGCCAGGCCTCACACTTATTTTGATGTGAGTTTTCTCAGAATGTTCCACGTCATTGCTCAGGCACGTGAAATCTGGGTCAAAACTGGAATCAAGCTCCCTGTCCCCCTCCCTGAGCTCAGGTACACCTGGCAGGTGTGCATCAGGTGTGCTGCAGCAAAAGGGCATTTAAGGAAAATCATTATCTGGGAGGAAAAAGTGGTTTTGGTTTACTTTCATCCTGGCCTCTCCTCAGACAGCCCCAGCCAGATCCATTGTTTATCCCAGGCCTCCCAGAGGCAGCCTTTAGCACATATCTTACACAACCAGGCTAATTTGGTACTTCTGACCTACATAAAATATTGTGCTGGGGTGGGAGGGAGCAGGGGGGACCAGCACTCTGAGCCATGCATTTTAGACAACGTTTCTGAGTAGAGACAGATCAAACTAAAGGCCCTTATTTGATTACTCCGTGTGAAAGATTCTCAAATTAATCAGGCTGGTGACCATTTTGCAATCTGCTGCCAAGTGAGGAATAAATGAAGCCTTTTAATTCGCCCATTGTAGCCCAGACAAAGGCAGGCGAGGGGCCTGGGTGCTCTGAGGTGCAGAGGGAGACGAGCACGTTCTGCAGCCAATGAGGATGAAAAAAGCCCAAATCACAGCGCTGTAATAATGCAGGAGTGTGAATAATTTCACTGTCACTATGTATTAGAGCAGCCTGGGAAGAACAACACGTGGGCCGAGCCGGCGTATCGATTGGTTCCAGATGACATCATGATATGTCAAGGCACGAGCTCAGGCTCCTTTTATCCCGGAATAAAAGGGATGAGCCACTGGATGGGCTGGAGCTCCCTCTGCCGGGCTCCTCTGCGGCTGGAGCTGCTCCGGCCTCCTCATCTCACACTCAGTCGCAGCGATTCCAACCCAGCCCTCCCTAAACCCCTTTTCCTCATTTCCATCCCTCCTCAGAACGTGGGGAAGGGACAGCAGAGGACAGCAGGGTCTGTGGGTTACCTTCCTGCTGGAGAAGTGAGCGTGCTTCCCCAGTTTGCTGTTGAGGGCCTCGAGGAACATCTCATCTGTGACTTTGCCCACGTTCATGCAGGCATCATCCAGAATGGCAATGATCCCTTTGTGCTGCTGCTCCACCAGGTCCACGATAACCTGGTTGTTGAAATAATCAATCTGCAGGAAGCAAAGGACAGGGGTGTTGGTGACCTTGGCTGCAGAAATGGGAGGGTACCAGTGCTGGCAATAGCATCCAGTGTGACAGCGAGGAGCAATCAGCTCTGAATGTGCAGATCTCTGATTCCAGATAAAACAGGCTGCTCTCCTGCACAGAAAGTGATTTTTCAAGCCTGAACAGCACAGAAAGTGATTTTTCAAGCCCCTCAGGTACATCTCAAGATCTCTACTGCAGAATGTTCTTTAAAATGTCTTTTACAATTCAGCTGTGTGCAGTCACCACAGTGACACTGCACATCCTGTCCTTGGAATTCTGAAGTGAGTATGAACAGGAAAAGTCAAGATTTTTACATATTACCATCAACAACTAGAAAAATCTATAAGCACTCAGCACAGAAACCCACAGTTACGTGTGTGGCATCACAGAGGTGCCAAATAGGTTTCATCTCAGACCTGGAGTCCCATATTTTCCCAAGGAGACACGTGGTGAGGTGATTGGGGAGCTCCTGCCCCAGCCTGGTCCCAGCCTGGCAGGACAGCTGGCAGGGACACACATGTCCCATCAGCTGGAGCCTGCATGTGGAACAGCTCCAGGTCCAGCCCTTGTGCTGGTACACTGACCTCACACCACCTCTGCCTCCCCTGCCAAAGCACTCACATGCTTCCAGGGAATTCCCTCTCGCTGGTACTCCTCCTGCTCCTGCTTTAGAACCAGCTGAATGAAGAGCTGCTGCAGCTTTTCATTGCAGTAATTAATGCAGAATTGTTCAAAGCTGCAAAAACATGAGAAGAAAAGGTGATGAGTGCTCTGGGAAAGGCAAGGGCACAACCTTGGGCTTTAGAAGGTGGCTCACCTGTTATTGTCAAATATCTCAAAGCCATAGATATCCAGGACCCCAATGACTGTGTTCTTGCCATGCACTGTGGTGTCGTAGTTCTTCACCTCGATGACATCGTTGATGTGTGTCACAATCCAGCAGAAGAGACGCTCGTAAATGGCCTGCAGGAAACACACACTGAGGGCTCCTGCCTGCACCTGCCTCAGCTCTTCCCAGGAAATTCCACACAGCTCATTCCAGGCCTCCATCAAAGCTGCAGGTCATGCTCATGAAAGTGAGCAGCTACTGACTGAAGAAAATATTCTATGGAAGTATTTATTTTCTTTCTTCCAAAACTCATTTATACCAAGTTGAAATCCCAGTGAGGTCACTGGGTGCAGCAGTTCCCTAATTTGATTCCAGTCAGCTTTTCAGCTGCCTAATAAGCACCATTCCTGAGAATTATTTAACAATAGTGAAGAGCAAGAGAGAGGTCAGTCACAGAAACTTAACAACTGAACACAATGACAGGAGAATAATCCTGTTCACCTTTCACAAAGACAGTGTTCTGCAGGCAGAGGTGTCTTCAAAGTTTTCATGTTCAAAATGCGCTGTGAAGCTGGGTAAATACATTATCTCAGGAAAAGAAGTCAAGTTCATTATCAATGACCTTCATAATCTCATCCATTCCTCCCTTATAATTTGATTTCTTAGCAGAGGAGGAACAATTGTTACTCCTGCCATCAGTACTCACTTTTCCTGTGGAAGGTGTCCCTGCCCTTGGCAGGGGGCTGGAACAAGATGGTCCTTAAGGTCCCTTCAACCCAAACTATTCTACAGTTCTTCATAAAAAATATTTTAAAACACCACTGTGTTTCCAACATGAATTCTAGATGTTACAGTTCCACTCTTTGAATTTAACTGCAAAATGAAGTTGAGGATCCCATTTCACAGCAAATTCCTCCCTGTAGGACACATTTGCAGATCCATCCCCTCCTCGGTGTGCCTGGCACTGCTGGCTGTGGGAGCTGGATCCCTGCTGGAAGGGCAGGGATGGAGAGGTGCCACAGACCCCTACAGAACTCAGGTGCACCGAGGTTCAGAGAGAAATCTGCAGGATGTTCAGCAAGCCCTGTGCTTATTGACCCACCCAGGAATCCTCCTGAAAAATGTGCAGTTCTGGCAGCAATGCCCACCTGGCTGCACACCTCAATGCAAAGGCAAAGGCAGCAGAGCTGTGTCTGGGAGTGTGACAGGAAGGGGACTGCACCCACCTTTGCAAAGGCATCCCTGCCATAGGTGGCCTCCTGCTCCGTGTGCTGTTTGTCGATGACGTCCCTGCCCGTGGCCACCGTCCGGAACAGCAGCGCCTTCTCCACCAGCTCGGCCTTGGTGGACAGGAGCTCAGCAATCACTGACACCAGCTTGCTGTTCTCGATGATGGGGGTGTCTCCATCCACATAGAACTTCAGGTTCCCCTGCAATCAGCAGCATTTCTCCATCTGCCTTTTGGAACAGGGATCAGCACACCCCAGCTCCATCCATTTCCCACCAGGCTGGAAATCTCCTGCCACACTGGAAGGTGGGTCCTGCACATCCACACCCTCAAACTTCCAATGTCAGAGGGAGCAGCAAGGGCTTTCTCAAAGGCTCAGCTCAGTGTTCAGCTCAGCTTTTGGGACAAACAACATCAAACACCATCCCAAGATTCAGAGTCCAGGGATAGGGAATGACACCATACATGCAAATGCTGGATGCAGCATTTGTCTTCACTGCAGCTCACCATGAAACCACTGCTGCAATTCCCCTGCACAGAGGGAATGGGAATGGTGTGGGGAAGCTGAGAGCTCAATGCCAGTGGGACTGGACAAAAGCTCAGCTTTTGGGACAAACAACATCAAACATTTCCCAAGATTTAATCAAACACCATCCCAAGATTCAGAGACCAGGGATAGGGAATTACACCATGCAGCATTTGTCTTCACTGCAGCTCACCATGAAACCACTGGCTGCAATTCCCCTGCCCCAGAGGGAATGGGAATGGCATGGCATGGAAGCTGAGAGGTCAGTGCCAGTGGGACTGGACTGGCAGCTCTGCTCCTGGGTACCTTCTGTGGCAGGATTAAGCAGTGACACCCCTTGGTGATCCACAGCAGAGGGTTGTGTCCCAGCCTGCCTGCGTGGCCCCGCTCTGCTCTGCCTCCCTTCCTTCCCAGCACTGTCATCCCAAGGAGGAAAGGAACTGGAATAAAGTTGCTCTTTGCCACCCTCCTCCTGGCCACCTCTTTCCTCAGGAAACACGAGAGCTGAGCTACAGGGACTCCCTGCTACTGTGCAGGGGAGGAGGCTCTGTGGCTCCCAGGAGGACCCACGAGAAGGAAGGATCTCCTCAGTCTCAGAACACAAAGAGTTAAGAGGACTCCTGTGTTTCCTGTGCTCAGCCTTCACCATGAAGTGAAGCAGGATCACTGTGGTGAAGGTGAGTGTGAGGGCACAAAGGGACAGAAGCTCCCCATCCCCTCACTGCCAAACCCCAATAGTTCCTTTTTGAGAACATACAACAGCTCCCAGTACTTAGTGGTGTGCCTGGTTTGGGATCTGGAACATTCAGGAATACATGTGATCATCATTGCAGGGCCCTGTTCCAGCAAGGACTTTCTGTCACCACTGGAGCTGGGAGCTGGACACCTTCCCAGCCACCAAGGGCTTCTGCAGCAGCAAAATCAGAGCTGCTGGCAGTCCAAACCCTCATGGGTTCAGGGATGGTACCCATGGGCAGGGAGCTTACCAGGTGCAGAATGGCTGCCACAATTTTGTAGACAGTTTGAATCTCCTCCTGCTTGAAGCCAATCACCTTCATGGCATCAGCAACTGCCTTGAACTCAGCCCCATCGTTGATGGAACACTGAGGGGAGAGAGAAGTTTGGGATGGGGGATTTAATGGAAGTCAGCTGTGAGTGAGCAAGGATTTCACAAGCCCATGGGAAACAAGATGCACTTTGATGTTTCTCAGAGGCAAGACACTGTCATGAGGTTTCCCAGCTTATTCCAATGCCATCTTGCATGCTTGGACACTGAACCCTTCATTGCACACACGGATTCTGGCAGCAGGAGACACAGAAATCCACCACAGCACAATAAATTTACCAGTGGAATTTGCTGAGAAAGAGTTCATAAGAAATCCCAGAAGAACAGGGACAATTTGTGCACTCACAGACTCTCTGAGCAGAGGCTGCAGAGCACGAGCAGGAAATCTCTGTTCTCCACCTCTCTCAAGATTAGCCTCTCCCTCCCTCCCTGCAGCCTCCTGGGTTTGTTTTCAATACATATTTTTAAAGAGAATCACCTGGCCTGGGAGAAGGTCTCTGGGTTTCTGTACATGTGCATCTCACAAAAGCACCCAGGAAATCAGGGAGCCTTTGGTCTGGAGCTGCTTCAAAGGGACAACACTAGGAACAGCTCCAGCTCAATCTGAAATGTTCAGGATTTTGCTGTCTAAAAACTTCATGGGTTTGTTCCCTTCTTTCATGCTCTGAGTTCCCCCTTGAGGACAAGTCAGGCATGAAGACTCAGTGCTTCAGTAACTCAAAGATCTGCTGCAAATAAAATGAGTCTTTCTGGCTTTTTGCTCCAGAAGGCAGTTTAAGGTACCCATTATGGAGCATGGATTGTCTGCCACTGCTAATGGGCCAAGTATCCACACCTGCCTTTATTAATAAATCATTTTATTGCTGTTTATAAGCAGATGCAGCATGCACAGGTATATTTGTATATTTTAAGCAGAATAGAGGTAAATAAATCTTTTCTATTATTCTAAGTACACTTGTGCTTTATCTTGTACCAGAAACCTCATTACAAACAGCACACCAGTGTCACCTTTCCCTACTCATCCCCTCTGATCTCAACTTCTGCTAACTCAGCAGTGCTTTGAGCATTTCCAGCAGCACTTCCAATGTGAAGCTGTCCCTGGGTCCCTCAGAGCCCTCACCTTGAGCTGTGCCCCAGGGCAGATGTAGCTGTAGGCTGATGCATCCTTCTGGAGGTGCAGAGAACGCAGCAGCTGCTCAGAACCTCCCTGCAGGAGCTGCAGGAAGAGAGTTTTAAGAAATGGTGAATGAAAAATGTAAAATCCTTCTTTTTTCTGTCTCTTATTCATCTGCTTGACAAGCAAAATAATGAAAATATTAATTAGTGCTGCAGTATCTGGAGCACAATGTGCAAGATACAGGGCCTGCCACCACAAATCACTATCCTTTAGAGTCACAAGTGTATAAAAACCAGCCTGAACCCCTCCCAGACCTGTCCACAGCTGTGCCATGCCACAGCTGTGCTTTGGCAAGCACATTGCCCACACAGAGACCTTTCCTCCTGGAAATGACACATCCATAAGGAAAGTGCTAATATGCCATCATGGAGTACTGAAAAAGTGGAAAAAAAATAAACAAACCTCCCCTTCCTTCAGTGCAGAATCAAGGTTATACTAATAGGCTGACCATATCCCCCAAAGGACACACAGGGAACCAACACTCAATGTGGAAGACATTAAAGAACATCCAAAAAACCAAATTACTTCCATATGGACTAAAGGCTTCAAGACAAAATAGAGGGATTAGGCTTACTACACATAAAACAGTGACTCAAAGTCCAATATCCTACCATATTTGTTAAGTCAGCCTCCTTTAAAGTTTAGCAGTGTGTTAATATGGGACTGGAGGATAGAAAACAATCCATCTTCCCAGGCTCCCTCCCAGCCCAGGCCCCTGCAGAGAACTGAAGAACCCAAGCTCACCCAAGATGCTGCAAAAGGGAGCCCTGTGCAAAACACATGAGAGGGTGAAAGCCCTGAGTGCTCTGCCCAAGGGAAGCTGGGACAGGTCACTGCTCCAGCAAAGGAACACAAACCTGGTAGAAGGAGTGGAAGCTTCGCTCCCCGGGCTGCTGCACGATCACACGGGACTGGGGGACAAAGAACAGAGCTGGGTGTTAGTGTCCCAGGACATCCCATCACCAGGACACCCCAAATCCATCCCATCTCACACTCAGGCTCTTGGGAACACCATCACACACGTGTGACCCTGAGCTTGAGGGCTGCAGGCAAAAGCAGCAGTTGTGTAACAGCTGCAATGTCCTACTTCCACCCAGGAGTCCCATGTGGGAACCACAGGGTTGCTTTCATGGAAGAGTCAAATAAAAACCATCATTTCAGTTTTAGAATGATTTAATCATTGGAAATGAAAACCAGGACTCTGTGACTACAAATAAATGCTCAGGGCTTGGTGCTCACCCCTGCTACACCCCCAGGACAGCACCCACAGTACAAGGGGATGCTCTGCTCTGACACAAGGGCCTTGTTTTAGGAGCTGTAGCTCCATTCCAGAATCCTCATTCCAGACCAGAGTAAAACAGCACAAAAAAGGGTTAAATGCAGCAGACATTCAGTGAACCAGCAATGTGTCCTTATTTCATGCTACAGTCTGAACTATGGAGAGTGATGGGGAACAGAGCTGTGGTGGGGACATTTAGGTTGGAGATCAGGGCAAGGTTCTTCCCCCAGAGGGTGCTGGGCACTGCCCAGGCTCCCCAGGGAATGGGCACAGCCCTGAGGCTGCCAGAGCCCCAGGAGGGTTTGGGCACCACTCCCAGGGATGCCCAGGGTTTGTTGGGGGGTCTGTGCAGGGCCAGGGGTTGGACTGGATGATCCTGGCAGGTCCCTTCCAACCCAGGATATTCCATGATTTGATGTGTTCCTGCTGCAAAGCCACTGTCTGTTACTGCTTGCATTTGGGCCAGAGCCTCCACTGCTTTCAAATGGAAACAAATTTAACTTGGGAGAAGTCAGGGATATGAAATAAACAATCAGGATAAATAAATCATCAGGATTTAAGTCACTGCAGCTGTAGTCCCAGCCCTCTTCTTACATCAAAGTAACCCAAGTTAAATGTTTGGGTTTGTTGTTTTGTTTTTTAAAATAAAGTGTTTACTCTGAAAATAGACTTCAGGGAAATAAGGGGAGAAGTAAAAAAGAAACACAAACAAAAAAGGGTGTTGGCAGATGTGGTCAAACACATAATCAAAGCCAGACGTGTCTCACACAGCAAGAACTGTTAATGGCTCACGCCTGAGCTCTCCAGTTTTGCATATTCCAATGTTTTCAGACACCACTTAATGACACGAGGAAAATAATTATGCTCATGATCACTTGGAATATATAAAAACAACACTACCAACAGCTCACCCAAGGCTGTGGCACTATTCCAAAATAACACTTCTCAAGCACACTTGCTCCCTACAGCCCTGGAAATCTCCTTCTCCAGGGAGAGATCAGTGCAGGAATTACAAAGCAGGAGCTGTGCAGAGAGTAAATTTTATCCAAAATAAAAACTGAGATTAAACTTCACACACCTACACACACAAGGTCCTTTGGGTAACACAGCCCCATTGCTGCTGAGCTCTGGAAGTGCAGGAACAGGGCACTGCCAGCACTGCAGTGGCTTTTCTGACTCCTGAGGAAAACTTCAGCCCTGGATTTATTTTCTGTGCCCTCATTACTCACCTGCCTCACACATCTGAACAGAAAACTTCCTACTGACAAAGCCCAGATTGCAAAAGCAGCTCCAGCAAAGGCTGCAAGCCTGGAAGGGAGAGTGCCTTACCTTTTCTAGCAGGTAATTATTGATGTGCCCCCCGATGGGGTCTCCCTTGAAATCAAAGTTGATGTCCATGTACTTTCCAAAGCGGCTGGAATTGTCGTTGCGGTTTGTTTTGGCGTTGCCAAAGGCCTCCAGCACACAGTTGGATTTCAGCAGGATGTTCTTCACTCTGCAGCAGGGATGGAGGCATGGAAAAGGGTAAGACTTCAACACTCACAGCACGGGATTTTTTTTCACAGCCATTTCTCCAGAAGGATTCTGTGCCAGCAGTGATGCTCTTGGATGGCAGATCTGGGCAGGGGTGGATGGCATCAGCAATCCCACGGGAAATCAGCTGGGAGCTGTCAGCAATGCTCCTCAGAGGAAGCAAATGCTCTTTGGTTCACAGACCAGACCCCCATCCTGAAATCAGCACCAGAAATTCAGCTTCTATGCACATTTGAATTCTAAAATCAATTTTCTGAACTCTTTTTCAAATCATTTTCAAAAGTTCATTCAGGGTAGGTTTAAGTCTGTTTCTGCAGAAGGGCAAATTCTTTGATCCAAAGCTTTTACTCCAGGACAGAGAGGGACATTTTGCAATTCAGAATCATGTGAGCCTGGAAAGTCATGGAATACAGTCCTTGCACTCCACATGGGGCTCTAGCCCACCCAAATTTCAGGCAATTTGCCCCAGGAAATGTGATTTAGAATCATTTAGGTTGGCAAAGACCCCCAAGATCATTGAGTCCTGCCATTAGATGGTTGATATTGGCTGGATGGTATTTCTAGATGCTGTTTTGATTTTGAAAGTTTGAACTTTCAAAATAAACTTTTTCAAATGTGATTTCAGCAATTAACACAGCAAAATTCCCAGAGTAAAAGCAGTACCTGAAAAAGTTAAGTATAAATCAGCACGTACAAGAGACCATCTGATAACGTGGTGCTACTCAGCCCACAGAAAGAGATCTACAAGCAGGAGAATTTCCCTTCTTTTCCAGCCCAGGCCTTACCTCTCCACCTCAGCCCTCTGCCCGGGGTTGGTGATGGCTGCTATGTACTGCATTATGTATTTACTGGCCTCAGTTTTCCCAGCCCCGCTTTCACCTGGGGGCAGAAACACCACGGTGACCAAACAGATGAAAAAAAAGCAAAACAAATCATTGGACAGAAGACCTCAATTCTACCCCAACAGTGCCTGGGTGGTTTGTTGTTTTTTTTTTTCTTTTTAAAGCAATCTTTGTGTGCACTTGGGACGTTTTCTAAACACAGCCATAACCCTGCCTGGCTGCTGCTGCTGGGCTGACTTTGAGCAATTGTACTGTGAGATTCCACAGGTCGGGAAAAGGGCTGGCACACAGAGGATCAAAGGAATATTGTTAGAGGAGAAAGGCTGGCCTGCAGCAGCACAAGGGGCCACTGTTCAGCACCCCAGCCCGGGGCTCTCTCCTTTCAGAGCTGCCTGAGCACGGGGACATCAAGGAAGAGAAGTGCCAGGATCCAGCCAGGGATCACTCTGGTACCAGCCCTGCTCCCACTGCTGCCTTTCCAGCCAGGACAGCGACAAAAATCAGCAGCTCCTGAGGAGAGACCAGCCCAGCTCTGCTGATCCCAGCTCTGCTGATCCCAGCCCTGCTGATCCCGGTTCTGCTGATCCCAGCCCTGCTGATCCCGGTTCTGTTGATCCCAGCCCTGCTGATCCCGGTTCTGTTGTTCCCGGTTCTGCTGATCCCAGCCCTGCTGATCCCGGTTCTGTTGATCCCAGCCCTGCTGATCCCAGCCCTGCTGATCCCGGTTCTGCTGATCCCGGTTCTGCTGATCCCGGTTCTGTTGATCCCAGCCCTGCGGATCCCAGCCCTGCTGATTCCAGTTCTGTTGATCCCAGCCCTGCGGATCCCAGCCCTGCTGATTCCAGTTCTGTTGATCCCAGCTCTGCTGATCCCAGCCCTGCTGATCCCAGCCCTGCTGATCCCGGTTCTGCTGATCCCGGTTCTGTTGATCCCAGCCCTGCTGATCCCGGTTCTGCTGATCCCGGTTCTGTTGATCCCAGCCCTGTTGATCCCAGCCCTGCTGATCCCAGCCCTGCTGATTCCAGTTCTGTTGATCCCAGCCCTGCTGATTCCAGTTCTGTTGATCCCAGCTCTGCTGATCCCAGCCCTGCTGATCCCAGCCCTGCTGATCCCAGGTCACTCTCTGGAGCAGACCCAGGGCTCCTGCTCACATTATCCCTCTGCAGGCACAGATCCAGCTCCTGGCTGGCACCAGCTCTTGAATGAGATAAGAAATAATTGTGCCGATCTCCACACACGGATTCAAATGCAAATGAGCAGCTTTAAGCTTAATGAAGTTTCTTTTATAAAACGCTGTCATTAGCCAAACCATTATTCTCCTTCCGCCTGGAATTTCACAGAGATCAGATGCTCATCACCATGCAGAGCCCTCCCAGCCTACCTGAGATGACGATGCAGGTGTCCTTGGATCGTCTCTTCATGGCTTTGTAAGCAGCATCAGCGATGGCAAAGAGGTGCGGAGGCCTCTCGTAGAGCTCCCTGCCCTTGTACTGCTCGATCGTGTCCCGCCCGTAGATGTTCAGGTTCTTGTAAGGATTCATGGAAACCACCACCTCGCCGATAAAGGTGTAAATCCGGCCCTTCTCGAAGCTGCCCAGAGCAGATAAAAGGCAGGAATGAGACAAAAGCAGAGGTTCAGGACCCAATGGAAACAGGACAGGAACACCCTGGGCACTGGCACAGCAGCAGAGACCCGAGGGTACAGGGACAACAACCCAGGGCTGGCTGGGAGTTCCACCACCTCCAAAGGACATTTCTGCCTCTGCTTCACTCCCAGATCCATGAGGTGGAATTTACAGTTTCTACAACTGCCTATGAGAGTCAGAGGACTCTCACATGAGTGTAAGGAGCAAATTTAATCTGCTTCATAAAGAGGATTTACAGGCAAATTCTTGTTTCATATTCTGTAGTTGTCCACGGCCTAGCTCAGGCCAGAGGAGCAGCAGTTCTGAAGCCCTCACTGAGGGGTCTGATCACACTTGAAAGTCAACAAAGACAGGAGGGAATTGCAGCCTCTCAGCTCCAGCAATGTCTTTTTTGCACTTTGGTATCATCACTGCTGCTACACCAGAAAGGAAAAATTTCAGTCTGTGTGCAAACAACCCTAAACTACACCATTCCCGTCCCTATCTGGCTCTTTGATTCTTTCTGCAAACAAGACGGAAAATAACTTGATGTTATTTAAAAAAAAAAAAAAAAAAAAAAAAAAAAATTATAATAATATAAATTTAAAATTATTAATAATAATATATTATTCTAATAATAATTAGAATATGTTTCCAAACAAATTCCAATTTTATTGAAAGTTACCTACAAGGAGAACTCAGAATAATTCCAGATGAACAGCTGAGGAATTTACACCGCATTTGTTTGTCAGGAGGAGAAAGGACAGCAGGTTTAGGGCTCATCACACACAAACCCTGCATTCCTAGCGCGAATCCCCGTCTGCAGCTGTATTTAATCCTCGGGACGTTAGATGGCACCAGAACCCCTCCACAGAGCCCGCGAGCCTCGAATCCTGACGGACTCCGGCACAAATTCCAGCGTTACTTTATTGAATTTATTACCACCCCCATGTGGTGACAGCCCTGACATTTTCTATTGTTCATTTGAGAATTTTCTGCAGCGTCTTGGCAGCGTCAGTTTTTAGCAGGTGTAATAAAACTCAAGAAATATCATCCAGCAACCAGCATTCCACTTTCTACAAGTGTTGGTTTCTCCCACTCCAGCTTCCTCCAGGAACACTGCACTGGGTAAGACACGAGAATGGCAAAACATCCTCTTGTTCCTACATCACTTTTAACTTAAGGTGTCCTGATATGCATTTCCCAAAATAATAATGAGCTTAAAATGCAAAGATATTTTACATTTTTGAGATAGATGCTGTTTAAAAGGTACCAGTAATGTTTTAGAAAAGATAAGGCCAACATAATTAGCAATACCAATACCCCTAATTTTAATTTTTTGGGAGATCCTGAACAGGTAGAAGTGCAAAGGGGTCAGACACCAGGCTGGGAGCCCATGAGGGACTCTGCATACACAGAGGAGAGCCTGAAAAACCAAACCCACACAACAACACTGCTGGCATTAAGGAGATCAAGTCCCACTGGGACATCAATATGTAATGGAAACCACAAGGACATCACAATGAGCAGAATCATTCCCAGCTCCTGGAGATGGACCCCAGAAAAAGGTGAGTTCCCCTATGGAGAACACTGAGCCTGCTCTCCCAAGCCCCTGCTCAGCAGCACAAACTGTGCCCAAGGCACTGCTGATGCTGAAAATAAAGACCCAGCAGATTGAGGGTGAGGGTTTAAGCCCCATGAGCAGCTGGAGGGTTCATGGCCATAGAGAGGCTGAGGGGAGTTGTTTTAGCTGAGGAGAAATAAAGAATTAAAGGCCATTCCTACTGCAGTGCAGTGCCAGGCCACCATCACAGCACCCAATACTCTGACCTCTTCCTCAAGTAATGAATTATGTAAACTTGCATTGCCAGAGCCCAGTTTAAGTTTCCTCCCGTGACAGTTCAGCGTCCCTGAGTGAATCAGAGAATCAGGGAATGTCCTGAGTGGGAAGGGACCCCCAAGGATCATCCAGTCCCACCCCTGGCCTGCCCAGACATCCCAGCAATTCCATGCCTGGTGTCCAAAGGCTCCTGGAGCTCCGTGCCCATTCCCTGGGGAGCCTGGGCAGTGCCAGCAGCCCCTGTCTCCAGGCAGAACCCCCAGATCTGGCCTGCAGAGCCCCCACTCCAGAGGGGCTCCAGCTGGGATGCTGGCACAGCCTCACATCCTGCCTGCCACTTCCCCACAGCTCAGCTCAGACTGCAGATCCCACACTGGGCCTCCAAGCCAAGTTCTGCAAGGTTTTACTGGGCTCTGAGGAGTTGTGTCTTCTCAGCTCTGTGGCAAAAGGCAGATGGAGATGAGGGGGAAGAAGGATCTGTCTCCAGGCACCTCTCCAGCCCGGCTTTGGGGATACAGACTTTATGAACAAGTGACGTCCCCATTTACACTTCAGTTCATTTCTCTTTCCTTCCTAGCACCAGGGTTAAAATTGCAGAGCTGTGCTCAGATGTTCCCACCAGGAGCTGCAGCTCCTCATCCCTCCTTGCTGATAAAGCCCCTTTCATGCTGAGCAGGGCTCAGCACAGCAGCAGCCCAAGAACAGCAGGGCCTCTTTTCCTGGCTGCAGGGCTCTGGTGGGAGAGCTGGGTTTGCCCTGCCCATGGAGAGCTCAGAAAAGCTTAAGAAAACAACCCACGAGGGCAGTGCAAATGGGGAGCTTTGAGCTGTGTTAAACCCATGATTCCTCTGCAGGGCAAGGTCACAAAACAAGACCATGAATCCATTTGGTGCTTTTCACAGCCAGCACGGGCATTTTAGTGCTGAGGTGTAACATGTAGAACTGGAGTTTTGTTACTGAAAGCAACAACAGTTCCTTGATTAAAAGAAGCTCCTTAATAAAAGGAACCCCACTCCTGGGGTGACACCCCAGGGTCAAACCTTCTTTTGAATCTCATGAAGTCACATCAGATTGTGCTACAACAAAACATTTCCCTGCAATAGTTCCATTTGAATCATTTCTGTATCGATGCCATGGAATCATGGAATATCCTGAGTGGGAAGGTGTCCCCAGGCTCATCCAGTCCCATCCCTGGCCCTGCCCAGACCCCCAGCAATCCCATCCTGGGCATCCCTGGCAGTGCTGTCCAAACCCTCCTGGAGCTCTGGCACCATTCCCTGGGCAGTGCCAGCACCTCTGGGGCCAGAACCTTTCCCTGAGCTCCATCCCAGCTCCCCTGGCACAGCTCCAGCCGTTCCCTGGCTCCTGTCCCTGTCACAGGGAGCAGAGATCAGAGCTGTGCCCTGGGGAGGAGCTGCAGCTCCAGTGAGTATCCCCTCAGTCCCCTCTCTGCAGCAGCTCAGCAGCCAAAAAGCAATTCACAGTATATAATCCTTGTGGGTTATTTTGAGGAGGAACATCAGCTCTTTCATGAGAAGTTTTTATTACCTCATTAAAACATCAATTGATAATGAGAAAATAAAAACCAATGAGTCACAGAAGATAAATCATTTTAAGGGAGAGAAATTCTTCTCTTGGCTAGAAGTCCACTAAGGCAAGAAAAACACTTTTACTTTGTTTTGTAGTTTTTATTTTTAGGGAAAGGAGTTGGGAAAAAAAGGATCTTTAAGTCCAGACAAGGTATATTCACATGCAGCTGCTCCTGGAAAATACACTGCAGAAATGGGAATACTGGAGCAGAAATCTCCACCACCAGAGAGCACTCACATTTAGGATTTCCTCCACCTGACAAACACTCCAGTCAAAAATAAGACTGTTCTTACCGAGGAAATGATGCAACTTCAAATGCACTCAGTACAAATAAAGAAAAGTTAGTTGGCAAGACTTGGAACCCACACTCCCAAACAACATCTGCAGGACGGACGGGGCCGTCGCACAAAGAGCCTCCCCGAGCTCAGCACTCCCATCAGACAGGAATTCCTAATTAATCATTGCCGTGTAACTCCCCTGCTCCAGAAGCCAAAGAGCCCTCGGGGGAGCGCAGCTCCTCACTAACCCACTTTGCCACTCCGTGCCCACCTGTCCCACAACCCCGGGCCAGAGCAGCTGCTGGAGAAACGCGGCAGGGCACTGCTTGCTGCTCCTTTGGGAGAGCTGAAGGGCAGGTGGTGGCATTCTGGACCATTTGCTACTGGAAAAAGCCCTTCTCTGGTCTGAACTGCTCCATTCTCAGCGCTGCTCACAGACTGGCAGCACATTCTGCTTTACAGGCACACCAAAGCTTTACCCTCAGCAGGTGCTGCCTGCAGCTCCTTGGGCTCAGCCCTTGCTGATGCTCCACAGGTCCCCAGGACAGACCCTGCTCAGTCACTCACAGCATAGACACCCACTGAGCTGGGCTTTCAGTTTGGCTGTGCTGCAGTGCCTTAAAGGAAAGGAAATGTTCAGGAAAAGGAAATAATTCAGGACAGAATCCAGAGTGCTACAGCTCCTTCAGCTGTGCTGGGGAGCAAACCTAGTCAGCAGCAAACCTGGTCCCACTGAAGATGAAGAGAACCAAAACTGGTGGTTTCAAACTATTCTCTGTTTCCAGCTTATTTGTGAACTCCAAAGCACAAAGTGAAATGCTCAGTATGGGCACACAGCTTTTTCCTCCTCCTCTGTGCATGGGAAGAATGACCCAGGAGCTGCACATCTCTACTAGGTGGAGCAGGGACAATTCTTTTCCTGTTGTAAACATCCCACATGGTTTGGGTTACTCTCCCAAATGGGAGAGTAACAAGCCTCAGTAATTTTTTTCCATTAAATATATACATTAAAAGTCCATGAATGCAGGCTTTGAGTCCATTCTCTTTGCAAACCTGCAGGGAGACCTTTAATTAAAACTTGTGTTCATGAGGAGATGATCATGACAGCCAAGGATGGGCCTTTAGGATGTGTTCAGAAGGAAGGGAGTTTAAGCAGGCTTCTGGCAGTGAAACCATACTGACCTGGTTTGTAAGTGCAAGAATTGGTAGCCTGCACTGACCCAAGGGAACAACCCCACTGTCCTCGTGCTTTGGGAA